CTTGGTGTAGGCCTAGTCGTGTCGACTAACAAGTTGCAATAAAAGTGTGGCCAAGTTTAAATTTATAAAGAGCCACTACTACCTTTAACTACTAATATAGCTAGGGTGAGTAGGGACCATCCCAAGGGATTGGGAGCTATGTTAATATGGAAACAAGGTCGGATTAGTAGGTCGAGCGATCAAAATGTGTTTTGATTTGTTAATTAGACTACAATATAAATAAATTCAATACTAAACAACTAAAGTAAATAAAAGGGTAGAGAATAAGATAGAGAGGTTTTGGGATTTAGAGGTCACCACTAAACATCATGATTCTGGACACTCAATGTGTAATAAATGAGGGAAAACATGTGTTGCAATACAATGAGGTATGATTGATTGAATCAATAAGCATGGATTGACTAATTAAGCATATAATGTCTAGACAACCTAGTAAATAGCACAATATATCAAACTAAGCCATTATTCCTTCCTTTAAGCTCACAATCAACACACTAACAAGTTAGAGAATTATACTACTTGCATTCATAAGTATGGAACATCAAACAACAAGTATGGATTGTCCTTACATCTAAGAAAGTAAAGCAACTACACTACATCTAAGCTAAGGGCATGGAAATTAAACTAATTAAACTAAGGTAGAGGCACAATTTATCAAGAAATGAGTATGAACCATCAAACAAACCACAAGAGTATTCTATTTAAGCACTATGCCTTGACAATCTCTAAATTCATAACATCAATACACATAGACATGCATCAATATCACAAAACTAAAAGATAAACACATGAACATCTATTCTAGCATACATAAACATATGGATAGAATGAAATGATCAATTAGAAGTATTAATCAACACAAATCATTGTAAAAGCAAGATTTATATATAAATCAAATGTCAAGACAAGATTACAACACAAATCCCCTCAAAATACAAAACATCAAGGTCTAGAAGGCATGCTTAGGGCTAACTCTAGCCCCAAGAAGATGTTTAGCTACTCATTAATGTAGTCATCCAACCCTCAAGGACCATCTCCATGGTAGAAATGCTCTTTTTTTTTATGGAAACCATAGAAGAATGAAAGAACTCCCAAAATAGTGTATGTCTCTCTAAGCTCTAGCCTCTTCTCCAAGATATATGATATAAGATGTATTGAGATATCTAAGTTATGATGTAAAAATGGCTCAAAATCCTTATATAGGTAGCTCAAGTGTCACACCCAATGGTCAGGTATCGTGCACTAGGGTCCCTTCAATGATTGCACCATGAGCCATCTTTTAATGAGCTGGACTCTGTTTTATTTCAGACTTGAGGAGCTTTGATCGATCGAATTTAGATGAGATCGAATGAACTGTGGCCAGAACCATCGAAGTTAGGCCAGATCGATCAATCCATGGCGGCGCCTTTTTGGAATAAAACGAATCTGAGATATTTTTGGGATATTTTGGGAAAAAGACAAAAATAGTAGGTAGGGATAAGATCAAGGAAGTTCGATCGATCTGAAGAAAGTTAGATCAATCGAAGATGGAATTTATTGAGGATAAGGACAAGGGGTCTGATCCATCTTGGTGAGGTGAGATCAATCACTGTGAGATCGATCGAAAGTATTCTTGATCGATCGAAGTTTGCTAATTTCCACCACTTTCCTCCATTCTTCTATTCAGCTTGAGATTGCTTCTTTTATGCTCTAATTTGGCTGAATTGACTTATTTTGGGGATAAGCACCTGAAAAGGGCAACAACATGAAATTAAACTAAAACAGGAAAGTAAGATAGATAAAGGTCCTAGAATACTCAAACTTAAGGGGTTTAAATATGCACTTTTCAGCGTTCATCAAATCTCAACAGATTTCTTCTGGATCTGGTTGAGTACAAAGCATCAGCAATATATAATTTTGTTCCACATGGTAACAAAATATTAGCTCTTCCGGAGCCTTCAATCAAGTCTGTAGGATCTGATATTGTTTGTATTTACACTAACTTCAGCTAATGTTATATGAGAGAAATATTTTCTATCTCAAAGGATAGTGTGCGTTGTTGCACTATCTGCTAAACATATATCCTCACAATATTTCTTGGACTTAGTTGCCAAATCCATGCCTCTTCATACATGCAAATTTATAATTGATTACTTTCAAAAGAAATAAGTAAATTATAAGTATAATGATACAGATTTAAGATCATGCTGAAATAGATACAACAAAGTATACTTAAAGAGTTACAATACAACAAGTATCTTACAATACTGCTACAATATGGTCAGTTGCAAATATAATACAAGAAAACAGGAGAATATAGCTACAATACGGCTAGTTACAAATATCATACAGAAAATAGGAGAACACATTAATTCGTATAGACATCACCAATGAGATGGCTAATTTTGCCAGTAGGATCCTTAAAGAAATCCGAAACATTTATGTGAGTGATGTCTATTGGCTCATCATCATCATTAAAATTAGTTTCAATATTTTTCCCTTTTTCATTTACTGAGGCTTGGTAAAGGTTGGTCAAATGTCTGGGCATACGACAGGTACGCGACCAGTGCCCTTTTATGCCACACCGATAATAAGGCTTTTCTGTATAATTCTGAGGGGTTTTGTTTTGCATACACTTTTCTTTTGCCTGCTTGGTCACATTTATATTCCACTTTTGGTGGAACGACTTCCACTTTTAGTAGAATAGTGTGGGGTTCCTTATGAAAAATTGTGAGGGATTCTAACCACCACGGTTGTGGTAATTATTTCAATCATAACCATCCCAATGATCACGGCCAAGACCACGTCTCTGGCCATGAGATGGGATGCATTCGCTTTTGGGAATGGTGTTGCTCTGGTCCGACGGGACAGGTGATTTTTCAACAAAAACTCATTATTTTGTTTAGTTACTAGTAAGGTAGAAATTAGCTCAGAGTATTTAGTAAATCGAAGCTCTCAATACTGCTGTTGTAGAAGCACATCTGAGGCATGAAATGTGAAGAATGTTTTTTCTAATATGTTCTCATCAGTGATTTTTTTCTCCACACAAGATTAATTGTGAGCTAATTTTGAAAAGAGCTAAATTATATTCATTTATGGTTTTAAAATCCTGCAATCGTAGATTTATCCAGTCAAATCGAGCTTTGGGAAGAAATACAGTTTTCTGATGCTCATATCGTTCTTTTAAATTATTCTATAAGATGAGTGAGTCTTTAATCGTTAGGTACTCAGTTTTTAATTCCTTATATAAATGATAGGGGAAAAAAATCATTGCTTTTGCACGATCCTGCAGGGATGCTTCATTATCTACTTTACTTGTATGATGTCCAAGATCTATGGCATTGAAATGAATCTCTGCATCAAGGATGCATGATATATAGTTTTTGCCTGAAATATCAAGGGCAACAAGCTTGGTAAGATTCGACATTATCGGGGAATTATAAATGATAAAATAACATAGTTAGAATTATTTCATCGATCATAATCGAACTGAGGAATGCATCATAATAAAAAGAATAATCAATTTGAGATTAATAAAATACCGTAGCCACTATAATAAAATTTGCATAGTGGCGATATCATATATATAAATAACAATCAATTTATATTCACAATACAACAAGTGGCTTGGTGGCTCGTTAACTCAACTAGCACATTAAAGGCCACGATTCAAATCTTATGGTAAAAGTTTTTCTTTTCTTTTTTTGTACTTTTTGTATATCATGTCATATACGTACACAAGACCAAATGTGAACATGTTTAAATTGTAGAAATAATTATGTATATAACATGTCATATACTTAGATAAGATTAAATGTGAACATGTTTAAATTGTAGAAATAATTATGTGGGTAATGTCATTGACCTTTGGAAATGGAGAAGACAAATTTTCCACCACATACTACATATATATGTATATATATAAATACAATATCAATTAAGTTCTATTGTCAACTGTAACATAAAAACTATATAATGTGTGTGTGTGTGTATATATATATATTTGTATATATATGTGGTATGTGGTGTATAATATCAATTAAGTTCTATTGTCAACTGTAACATAAAAGTTCATAAGCTAAAATAGTAAAGGAAACGTGCATGCTACATAAATGTGTGTGTGTGTGTGTGTATATATTTGTATATATAATGCAATCAAGGGGTCATTATTTATTTTTCTATAATTTTGCGGAACTTCAGGTTCGTAAGGGGTACTCAGTGTAAAGGAGTTCAGGTCAACAAGTTTTGTAAAACTTCAGGTTCGCTTGGACTTCAAGTTAATAAATTTTGTGAAACTTCGGGTTCACAAAAAGTATCAAGTATTCGTGAAACTTCAGGCTCACGAATAATATATTAATATATGCAAAACTTCGGGTTTGCAAATATCATTAAATATAAATAATTTAGTATTTGCGAGACTTCGGTCTCAATAATTTATTTTTTTTATAAAGAATGAACTAAAATATTATAATATAAATAAATAAATAAGTATTTGTGAGACTTCTTTAATATAAATAATAATTTTTCTTATTCTTTGAAGTGACAAAGAAAAATAAAATTTTCTTATCAGTTGGTACAGTCTCGTGCTGATAACGTTTTATAAATATAGAGTAAGAACTGAAGAGCATAAAAGATATGAGTATGAAAGTGAGAGCTTTTGTATTACTAATTTATCTCGGGATGCATCTTTTATCACAATACACAAACATATATAGACTAATTTTTTTTTTTTTTTTTTTTTTTTTTTCACAATCCACGTCCACATACACAAATTATACATTTCCCATGTACATAACATATAAATGGTGCAAAGTATTTAATATGTGTACCCCCATCAACTTTTTCAACAATTTCCAATTTTTCCTTATATGAATCAACTAATTTATTGTCATGCATTTACGAATAATTTTTAAAATAAATAATTCCAAAGGCTACTCCGAGCCTGATTTTAGTGATTCCTCCAACGTAGAAAGTTGTGGCTCTAGTCCCGTTAAAAAATAATAAAAGGTTAAGCTACTCTGAATTTATAATTAAGCACTGCAAGTGCGTGTCACGCGCTTTGAAGAAGGCATTTTGCTTGCTGGAGATTGTCTCAGCCACTGCAACTCGAAGGTTGAGTTCGGTTTTATGTGCCGAGGAGAGAGAGAGAGCAGAGACCTTTTGGGCATGATGGAAAGGAGTAGAAGTAGCGGAAACTACAAGAACCCGTGTCTGACAATGCATCAGCCATGGGCTTCTTTGCTGGTTCAGGGTATCAAACGCATTGAAGGAAGATCTTGGCCTGCCCCTATCAGAGGTATTTTTCTTTTACACCCCAACAATACCCCTATTTTTTCATTACACCAGTCAAGTTATGAATTGTGGAATGAAGATCAGTTCATGATGTAATTTTTCTTTTCTTTTTTTTTTTTTTGTATTTGTTACTGTTTTTGTTGGGGTTCATGATTTTTCTTATTTGTTCATTCGTTTTTTAAAATTCTAGGTTCTATTGCTGTTGTTTTGGTCCTGGGTTATGATTAATCTTTGGGCTATAAAATGCAATCTTTAATTTACATATACTAAAACTCTCATGATAAGAGATGTATCATATATATATATATATCAGTAAAATGATAATATAATATTAATCTATAATTATGGACGCTAGGGAAAAAGGGAGACCTTTTAGGGCATGATGGAAAAAGTCATCTGCCATATTAAATGTATTAAGAGTGAAGATTCATGAGTTTTATTAAAAGATGATGAAAATTAAAGAAAGATGGAAAAGTTATTTTGAGAAATTGCTAAATGAAAACCACATAGAAAGTCTAGGCTTAGAAGAATATGTTAGAAATAACGTATTTTTCCGTACGGTCAAGGAGTGGAAGGTTAGGAATGCCTCAAGGAAGACGAAATCGGAGAGGGCTTTAGGACCCGACCCGATGGCATTCCTATTGAGGTGTGAAAGTGTTTAGGTGAAGTTGGCTTGTCTTGGTTAACAAAATTGTTTAATAAGATAATAACAACTAAGAGGATGCTGGATGAGTGGCGCCAAAGTATTATAATACCTATACAAAAATAAGGGGACGTACAAAGTTGTAATAATTACGGTATTAAATTAATGTATCACACTATGAAATTTTGGGAGAGAATGATTCAACAATGCTTAAGACGAGATGAAAGTGTCGGAAAATCAATTTGGATTCATGCTGAGTAGCTCAATGATGGAGGCTATTTACTTATTGAGGAGACTAATGGAAAGATATAGAAAAAAAAAGAAAAAAAAGAAATCTCCATATGGTTTTTATTTATTTGGAGAAAGCCTATGATAGGGTACCGAGAGACGTAATATGGAGGATTTTAGAAAAGAAAGGAGTTACAAAGGGATACATTGACACATTAAAGGATATGTATGATGATGGTTTTGTGATCATAGTTAGAATGCCTGTACGGAAAACAAGTGAATTCCCAATTACTGTAAGCTTACACCAAGTGTCAGCATTAAGTCCATTCCCTTTTGCTTTGGTTATGGATGAGCTGACAAGACACATCCAAGATGCAATTCCGTGATGTATGTTATTTGCCAATGATATTATTTTAGTTAATGAGACTAGAGAAGTTAATGCCAAATTGGAGGTTTGGAGAAAAGCACTAGAAGGGTTTAAGATAAGTCGAAATAAACTGAATATATAAAGTGTAACTTTAGTAAATCTAGAAAGACATATGAGGATGTAATGAAGATTGACAATCAAGAGGCATAAAAAAAGTGAACATTTTTGTTATTTAGGCTCAATTATTCATAATGAGGGAGAAATTGGAGAGAGAAATTGGAGATGACGTTAATCATTGGTAGGATGGGTTGAATGGAGGAGTGCATTTAGTATATTGTGTGATAAGCGTATCCCATATTAGACTAGCCATACTTTATGGTACCGAATGTTCGGCAGCTAAGAACAACATTTGCATAAAGTGAGCTTGGCAGAAATGCGAATGTTAAGATGGACGTGCACTAAGAATAGAAAGGATAGAAATTAGAAATTATCACATTTGGGAGATGGTTGGAGAGATAAAATGAGAAATAATTGGTTAAGATGGTTTGGACATGTGCAAAAAAGACTTTTAAGTGCGTCGGTTAGGAAAAATGACAGTCCACTTTGAGGGTAATACTAGGAGAAGAGGAAGACCAAAATATATGGAGGTAGAGTTAGTAAAGAAAGATATGATAGTATGTGAGTTGACTGAGGCTATGCCTTAAATAGAGCGGAATGGAAACATAGGATTCATGTTACAGTACCCAAGCAATTGGGAAAAAGGCTTAGACCGCTTGGTTGTTGTTGTCGTTGTTGTTGTTGGTGTATGGAAAAAGTTATCTTTTTATTTTTTATTTTTAAGTGACATATTCGCATTCTTATATCCCTATAATAAGGTATGTTGATCTTCTTGTGGAATTAACTCAACAATATTCAATGATCAAGATATTAAGAGATTTTCAGATTACTATTGCATGAGATTCAACCTTTGTACAATACTTAAGACAAAGCATTTTAATCATGTAATTATGAAACTTTAATTGGAACATTAATTCACACAATTTCAGTGTGATATAAATTTTACTGGAAAGGTTTAAGACAACTAGACCAGGGAATTTAGATTGAGAGAGAAAGTAGATTAAATTACCCTCACCTCTCGCTCTATCAAGAAAGTCAGTGACTTCCTGGGCTGTTCCCCCAGGACCTTGCCGAACAAGAATAGAATAGAATCAACCTGTTGAGCTTGCTGCTCTAGCTATCTCTTGGAGATCAACATGTTCCTCCTAGGATTTACTATTCTTCTTATTTAAAATTCCTGTATACTTTGAAGAGACGGACTTGAACACATCTTGGAGTCCATTCAAATTATTGAGAATTGAGACGCTTTTGCTTTTTGAAGAGATGCCTGTGTCTGTTTCAACTTTCACTTACCTTCCTTCTTCAATTTCAGAATTTCTCTGAATTTATTCTTGATATGAATTCTCCCCAAATTACCGATCGCAATAATTCAAACTATTGAAAACTACATAACATAAAAATTTATCATTTTTTCTGGCCTTTTTTTCCTCAACAATAGAAGTATTGGGATAATGTTGCTATGTGGGAACATGGCTTTACATTCGGAATCCCATATAGTGGCATCCATACTTGCCAGGTTGGTTTGTTCCATAGTGGGATCAATATTATCATTAATATTCTCTCCCTTTGATAGTGGGTCTATCAAACTTTTTCAAAGAACATTTTGACAAGCCTAAAAGTTACAAAAATTTCTTAGGCGGTCTTCTTCCTTCTTATTCATCTTTTCCAAATCACATCGTGCCAATTAGCTCTTACCCATTTTTATCTCTCTCTTGATTTGGCAGCTTTCTATGGAAAATTCAAATTCAAACGATGAAGTGATTTGATGCATCTAAAATAACTCAAGTACCTATTATTTTTTGGTTTCAACTAAATCCTTTTGATTCTACTGACCATGATAGTTTCTCCTAATGGAAAGCAAACATCAGGCTATCTTTTTTTTTTTTTGAAAGGTAACATCAGGCTATCATGCATCAACAAAGTCAAGGCAGAACATGGATGGCAATTTATGTAATTTTGTCACAGCTATCAGATGATAAAGAATTTGATTCAAATTTGCTTCTTGATCTGACCATATCTCAACATTTCAAGTATCTAGTAAAAATTAGGAAAATATCATAATTTTGACTATTAAAGGAAAAAGTATGAATTAGCCACAATGAGATTCCAATAAAGTGTCTTCCACTTCATTAAAGAGGAAATCATTATAAATTCCATAACCTGATGAACGTTATCGAGTAAAGGCTACGTGGTTCAAAGTTGTAAATCTGTCTATCAAGAGACATCATTGTCATATTCGTGCTTCAACACCAATTTTTAAGAGTATTAAAGTCGAAGTGAAACTTGGGAAGGGCAAGCTCGGGTTTAAGGTTGGTAGAGGTTTACTCTCAACCTCTATATAAGAGGGCTGAGGTTTTCTCTTGAGCTGCAACAAGAGAGGATTACTTCTGAGCCCATAAAAGAGTGGATTTCACTTGACCCGCAACAAGTGGTGTAAAGGTTTTGCTCTTCACCTGCAACTGCAAGAAGAGGCCCAATAGTGGATTGGGGGGAAATCTTCAAGTGGTGCGTTTGAGGCGAGGATGTAGGTGGAATTTTCCGAACCTCGTAAAAATCATTGTGTTAGTTTTTCTTATCCCTTAACTATTTACTTACTGTCTATGCATATTAATCAGTATTAGATGCATGATTTAATATGTTGGATATGATTACTTAAGTTTAGATGCATGCTAGGAACAACTATGTTAGAGTTAAGGATTAGTTGAAGTAGTATGGTAGTAGTTTAACTAATGGATTGTGTGTTGTTTGGGTAGTTGATATATGCTTATATTAGATGTATGTTAGGACTTAATGCTATTCTAGTTTATTCTAGATATTTGGTTGGATTAGTTAGATTAGCATATTTGATAATGCTTGAGATATTATTTGAAATTATGAAGGCTCACGATCAGGAGCAGTTGATCTTTCATGAACTATGTGCTGGAATTCCTTTTTGAAAGTGCAACATCCATTAGCTTTCTTTCATTTTGTCACACTTTTTTATTTTTATTTTTTCTTCTCAATCCAATTGACTGGATCAAGTGATTAATTTTATATATCCGGTAGTCTCCCCCCTCCCGCCCCCGCTGTATTGTTGTGTGCAGAGGATGCTTTTATATATTTTCTTTCTGTTTCCTTATTTTTTTTATTCTTTAATGAAGGCCGACTCTGGATTCATGCTGCCAGCAAGGTCCCAGAACCAGACACAATAAAAGCAATGGAGGACTTCTACAGGGAAATCTATGCAGTGAATGGGATAACTGATCTCAAGTTTCCAGAACATTACCCAATTTCAAGACTGTTAGGTGTTAAATTATATTTGTCATATTGTTCCAATCTTACATGTTCTATGTAATTTTCATAGATATCTTTTATCAACAAGATTGTTCCCCATAAACCAAAAAAAAAAAAAACAAAAAACAAAGGAAAAATGGACAGAAACTATTTAAGGGAAAAAAGGGTGTTGAACTTCAATAATTAATAGAATTGCAGGAACATTATTGTCTAACTTGAAACTTATTAGATAAGCAGTTAATTCTTTGAGTAGTTATTTATTTATTTATTTTATGTTATTAAAAAGGTTTCGCTCCACTTATCAAAAAAAAGATTTTGCTCTCTCACTCTCAAAAGACTTCTTTCTTTGATATCATGAGATTTTTTTCTTCTTATCTGCTCATCATCCGTTTCAATGTCTAGGCTATCTATACTTGATCTTTACATTCTTTTTTTCTTGTCTTCACATAAAAATAAAGGGTGCGAAGTAATACGAGTGATCTGTGGTTTCTGTGTCAAGTTGTGATGACTCATGACTGCTGTTTTCATTCTTCTTGATGCGATCTTTTTACTCAGAATTTATCACTAGTTTCGAAATTGTTTGCAACTACAGAGTACCAACTTATTTCCTTGTTTTATATAAACAGCTGGTATAGGTTATATAGTTTTATTTCTCGAATATATATATTGCAGTATTACAATAGCAAATCTGGAAAACTTAATCCTTGACACAGGCTGTGTTGAAGTGGTTGGGTGCGTTACACGTGAAGAGGTAGTATGCTGGGAAGAGGTCCCTGAAGGGGTGGGCTCCTTTGCTCTCTGCTTGTACTGATAGGATGGTGCCAATGGTTAACATCGCAGCACCATCCCGTTGTAATAATGTAATTAAACTTTCTTCTACAGGTGAGGCTCGAAGGGCAGACAGATTTTTGCTGGCTTTGTGAGCAACCACAGGTTTATATCTTGATAAAGCTCTATGTCTGGTTTTTGTTAAGTCCAAGAGTTGATGGTTAAGATGGTCAAATTGTTGCATCATCTCAATAAACTGATGGAATCAATTTTCCTCCATCAATGCAGAAACTGATAGTACCTTTTGAGATGCGGGGGCACCAAGGTGTTTATAACTTGGAGAGGAAGGTACTTTTGTTCCTTCTCTCTCATCTTTTTCGTGGTTGTGGTAGTTCCTTATTTATTTTTTCCCCTGTACTTTTGTATGATACACTGTTTACCTTTAATCCATTCTTCTTCTTGAACAGATTCATGAGGCAGCAGTCAGAGGACTTTGCCCGGTTACAGCTCCATTACCGGTTAAGTTTCCGCTTCCAGATCCGCAAGATCCTCTCTCGTTGAAACCGGGATCACTTGCTTCTCGCCCAGATGGCTCAAAAGCATCTGAAATGGAGAAGCCACCAAGTCTCAGTGCCGCCATAGCTGGTGCACAAGTAGTTGCCGCGCAGTTCTCAAAGAAGAAAAGTGGCCAGTCAATTACAATCGAAGAGGACATGCCCGTTTCCACTAGAACAAGGAACAAATCTAAAGAGAAGGGGATGTGACAAGATGATGAACTATCTGGGAAATCTGGTGCAAAGATTTGGCTTACAAGTATGAAGAGCAAATCACAACATGAACTGCGAACGAGACATGCTCTAGCCTCCATCAAGCTCCTTGCAGAGATTTGGACCATAACTCGGGGCTGTTTTTATATCTTCATCTTCAACTTAAACTCCATGTAACAAAAAAAAATCCTTATTGCATGTCAAAAATTTTTCGGTTGTTGCAAGTTATTTTCTTTGTGTAATTATCTAGATGAGATGTAATTTAGGCACACAGTATCATTATTATTATATATGGAACATTGTACTGGCAATTTATGACTTGGCACTGTAGTGAACTAGGGTGCACACGGTCCGGTTTTGAAGATTTTTAGAACCAAATCGCTCCCTACAGTTCCAAAAAATCTGAAACCGAGCCGGACCATTTGAGCCATGAATCGAACTAGCTCAAACCATGAAAAAACGGTTTGATTCGGTTTGGTTTCACGGTTCTAGTTGAATTTTACTTTCGTATTTTTTTCCTTGAATTGTGTATACAACAAAAAATAAAAATAAAAGCATTCACGTTCCCGAATCCAACACTAAAATAGAGAGAGAAAAAGAGGGGAAAGTGGGTGAAATAGACCAAAAGATAAACTCTGGAAATTAAAATAAGGTTGAATTTTGCTGAAATTGAAAAGGATGATAAATCCGTGGTCAAAAATTAAAAAACTTGATTCATTGTTGGTTGTGCTTGAGGTGTTAACATGCCGTGAGACTCGGAGATCTGTGAATTGAAAGTGAGAGGAAGGGGAGAGAGTGTGAGAAAGGATGTCACCAACAACAATGATAAAAGATCGATGGTGATGACCGAACTTCAAATGTTATGTGAGAGAGATTGACCAACAACTGATCTTGTGGCGATGAGAACTAAAAAGTGAATGAGGTGACATAAGCAAATAAAAAAAATGAAATAGAGGAGAAATGTTGGCAGCACTCAAAAATCAAAACATTGGGAAAAGCAAAAACAAATTAAAAAATATTAGAAAGTGATAAATGTTGGCTCACGTTTGATCATTGTGCCGAAATCCCTTACAAAGTTAAGTAATATATATGTATAACTATATATATATATATATATATATACATACATATTATAACGATTCGGTCTGAGCTGGTCCGGTCGTGTAGGACCCTAATTTGGGACCAAACAAAAAATTCACGGTTCCATTATTTTAGAACCATGACGGGATCGAATCGTTATAGAATCGGCCCAGATAGCCTGTTTCGGTCTAGTACGGTCTGATTTTTCTGGTTGACGGTTTTTTTGCACCCCCTATAGTGAATGCATATTATATTTCAACCATTTTACAAAGTTATTTATTCTAAATTTTACAAATTTGAATTACGGTGCATTATGTGTTTTTTTTTTTTTGCTATGAAATTTTAGACGATCTGAAGTTATGTTCTTTTACTAAAGAAGTTATATTCTGAAGGAATTTATACTTACATGGAAGCTTCAGATTGATGCTTTGGACAATGCTTGAATTCAAACTTCCCTAAGGATATAAGTAATATAATATCATTGAACTATATATAAGCAACAGCACTTGGTAAAAGGAGTCTTGTAATTGGATGGGTGGAATTTAAGAAAAATAATTAAGAAAATTGAATCAAAATTTTACAAATTCCAATTTGAAATCTCAAATTTCATGCAGTCAACACACCTTCACAGTTTAATACCTGTTATGGCTTGAACTGAACTTCTTGTTGCAAAAAAAGATATATGCCGATAATGTTCCAGATTCATATTACCCCAAGGGCTTCAACTTAGCAGTATTTTTTTATCTAAAAAGTCGAGGCCTCTGATCTACTGATGCTTCTTTGAATAGCAATGGCTCGCTTGGGGTGGGTGGGGTTTGTTTGATTTTGGGCTTTGTTTTGGGCCTTGTTTTTCTCTGTTGGGCTTGTTCTTTTTTCTTTGGGCCGGTGCCCTTTCCTGTACATTTGCCCCTTATTTATAAATTTATTTACCCAAAAAAATTTAAAAAAATTTCACGTAAATAGCATTCTACTCTTCTACTAAAGTTTTCTTCCTCTCATTAGTTAAATTCAACACACCATTGATTTTCTTTCCAATCATTCAGCACCTCTGCATTTCGGCGCCCACCAATTTTTTACTATTTTTTGGGAAACGTATTTCTGCGCCCACATTCACTTTGCATTCACACACAACACCAGTCTGCACCAACACTCCTTTCGTAAGCTCATCTAATGGAATCATTCATATATATATATATATAATTTGAGTGTACTGTTGGAGATATAAAAGGAGAGTGACCTTCTGAGTTGGATCCAACACTCGTGACTTTGTGAGGTGATTTTCATCCTCGTCTAATATTAAATTATTCAATAAAACGAAAAGGATTTTAATGTATGAATTGAAAAATATTTGTATCCAGTCGATTTATGTAAAAATTTATTTTGAATGAGAGTAAACCAAGGAATAAGCTTAGTGGAAGACGTGGAAATTGCTAACATGCATGTCAAATGCTTTTTAGATTAATGGTGAGATTGAGCCTTCATCGTTGTTAAATTGTGCAGTTAGCGAAAACGAAGTCATGAACTCACCAAGAGTCGAACAAAGACAGAGATAGAGACTTGTTGAGGCCACCTTTATCGGAGACTTAATTACTCTATTAATACAAATTAGTTAAACAAAAAATGTAACTCGATTATTTGAGAATCAAGTATTTAGTTAGCGCTAATAACACACGTATGATCCATGAAAAAATCTATAATTGACGATATTACAATACTGATTAAGAAATAAGTCAAGGAGTAAAAAATGATAGACCCCACATGCACTTCTCTTAATCGTGATAATGTCGATAACTATAACATTGCTCATCACGATGACTTTAATAAAAAAATCCCAACGAAGAAAATATGTCATGGACACCTGTGAACATGCTCATCATGATTAATTTAATTGAAAAAACCCAAGGAAGAAAATATGTCAAGGACACCTGTGAACATGAATGGGAAGCAGAGTACATTCACATCAATTGGGCTCAAAGAACATATCGTCTGTCCACTCATCTACACCGCACAATTATTGACGTCATGTGTGACGTTGCATAAATTGTTTCTCTCATCAGTGTCACCATCCCAAATGGGAAATGGAGAAACGCGAGTCTTGAAATCGAAAACGTAACCACTAATGTAAAGCTAACATTCTTAAACTCATCGAAAATCTTTTAGATCAGGATATGTCTCTCTATGTCCCCTGTGATAATATAATATAATCATTCCAAAGTTACCACTTTGTTTAGCTTAACCCTGATATAATCTTGTACTAGGGGAAATTCTATAATAACTTCGGATATGTTTACATGTGATATTTTTCTTAATGAAATACTTTATTTTTAGTGACAATTGAGATACGAAAGTTTGAAAGATAAATAGAGAACATTCATTGAAAGAAATATCAACATGCTAACGTCTCAATACATCACGTAACTAACTCCAACGAGTTGGCTCCCGTAATAAAATCTTAAAATTTAGTGCCTCATGAAGTATTAAATTTCAAATTCGAATCATCCCGAGTGTGATCAAATTCCTTAAAGGCCATGACCGCAAACATAATCTCTCGCTTTGACTTAACAACATTTTCACATGGCAACATACCTTGGGTTAGATAAAGTAGTGTGCTAATTCAATTACAGGAGTTTGGGCAAAGAAAAATAAGAACCACTTATATGTACTACGGAAAGGAAATGGTCCCTATGATGATATAATATAATCATCATAAAGTTACCACTCTATTTAGCTTATCCTCGATATAATCTTGTCCCGGGAGAAATTCTATAATATGTTTCGGATATGTTAATACTAGGTATCCAATTGAGAGACGAAAATTTGCAAGATAAATAGAGAATATTCATTGAGAGAAATAAAAAAATATTAACATCCCAATATATCACGTAGTTAATTTAAGGGATTAGAAAAAAAATCTCAAAGAGTTAGCTTCAGTAGTGAAATCTTAGAACTTAGTGTCTTGTGAAATATTAATGTTTGAATTCTCTCGAGTGCGATCAAATTCTTTAAAAATTACAATCGCGAACATAGTTTAAATCTTATTCGATTCGTACAAAAAAATCTACCTAACAACATAAATTCTCTCGAGTGCGATCAAATCCCTTAAAAATTATAATCACAGATATAATTTAAGTCTTACTTGATTCGTATAGAAGGATCGGCCTAACAACATATTCGCATGGCAAAGTACCCGGGTTAAATAAAGTAATGTGTTAATTCAATTCTAGGAGTTTGGGCAAAGGAAAATAAGAATCACTTTATCTATTACGGAAACGAAATGGCTAGCAAATTGTCAACCTTTTCAACTAGAAGGTCCCAAAAGAAACATGGTTAGTGGGATTTGTGACAAAAATAATTTTTAATTTGGTGTTTTCTAACAACCTCTTTGACACGTGTCATACTCACAATGGCCAACAACCATTATAAAAGGCCTACTAGATTCTACTAGTTTTGCAGAGTCAAAAGAGAGTCCAAAGATGTCTACTAAACACTTGCTAGTGTTGTTCCTTGCTGTTGTGGTTCTCACCACCGCCTCATTAGCCGACCACCACAAGCCACCTGAACATGGACACAAGCCACCTGAACATGGACCCAAGCCGCCCCCAAAACACAAGCCACCAACCCCAGAAGAGACTGATGATAAGAAGCCAACCCTAGAACACAAACCTCCCAAGGAAGAGAAGCCACATCCGGGACATGATAAGCCACCATTTCATGGACACCCTCCAGTGGTGAATGTTGAAGATGCACACAAGCCGCCCCAAGGCCCCAAACCGAACCTGCCCCCAAAGAAGCCACCCCAGAAGAAGCCACCAAGCGGTGGCAAGCCTCCGGCAACAGGTTCCAACTGAGAGATATGGACTGATCACTTTTTTATGGATAGAAATAAAACCAGTTGTGATCTGCTGCTGTATGCTTTCTTAGAAAGTGTCAGTTTCTATGTATGAGCTAGTCATAACTAGTATTACTACTAGTTGGATTGTCTTCTTGTTATTTACTACTCAGTTTGTGTATGTGTATCTTAATTTGGTTGTAGCTAATGGGCATGGATGTGCTCTTTATCAATGCTGCTTATATAGGCATATATTATTACTATCTCTACTTTCAGTTTCTCATCTCTAATTCTGGTTATAAAATCTTCATTTATGAACATCATGAACATGGTCATAAAGAGTTACTAAATCATAAGATGTTAGTAGGTGAGTACGTTAAAAGAGTAATGCTATTATGAGTTGGATCCCATGATTCATGGACTCTCTTTTTAAGTTCAAACATTTTGAGCTAAAAAAAATAATGCACAAATTATGTCATCACGTGGACAATATTAAAGTGACTCCATTGTAAAAAGAAATTTATTTTTTTCTTCCTATTATTCGTCACTTTCTTATATTATTTTAGCGGAACGAAAGCAATTTATCTTACTTTCTAAAGCAATTTATCTTACTTTCTATCGCCAATTCTTTCTTTATATCATCTCAATCAAACGAAAGAAATTTACCACCAAAACCATAAGAACAAATAATAAAGTAGACAAACAGAGTAAAAAGCTAGTGCATGTTTTAACAGAAAAAGGAGTATAAAGAGAACAAATTCACTAGTGCAAGTGTCATAAAAGATAGACTAGCTAGTGAAAGCGACAACCCCGAAACATGGATCGAAAGCGAGCAACCACCAAAGAACTAGAAAAAAAATAGACAAAAAAGAACACATAGGGCTCACAACTCAAGAGTTTAAAATAGTGTCAAATAAATCCATGAGCAACTGAAAAGGCATCCTTGATGAAGATAAGGCAAGCTTAATGACATAAATAGTTGTGAAATTAATGTTTTCCTCCTCACGCTTCTAGCAGCCAAGTTAACAATGTCAGATCAAGAAGGTGTGAGTTGGGCAGCAGAATATGTCGTGGAAAGTCAAGTTTTCAAAACTATTTTAGAGAAGTATTAATTACGAGTTTTTTTTATCTAATTTTTACTCTACTAAAATTACCGGTTAATTAACAATCACAAATAATGAGAAAGTAAAGTTTGAGTGACATAAGATTTTAGCAAGGAACCCAATTGGAAAACCTCGAGAATTTTTGTGTTGTCTCGAGTGTAAAACAATCCATTATGTATGAAGCAAAGTACATCGAACTTTGACTCAAGCTCACACCCTTTCACTCTACCAAGCCTCAATCCGCTGAATACCCCTGGCTTTGTGACTTCCCGTCTGATTGCTTTCGACTTCAAACTTATGCCTCGAACCTTGTAGAAGGATTGCTGGAAGATTAAGAATACTCTGCAAATGCCTTGATCCCTTCAAAGTGATCAGAAAATCTTCTTCTTCGAATCTAATTGTTGTAGAAGAAATAAGATCTACTTACTTTTATCGTTGTAGATGCAATCCTCAATAGACTTGAACACAATCAGGAATTCGAACAACACCCTAATTCACTCGTTTGTATATAGTGTGTATGTTCTTAAAGAAATCTCACAAAAAGGGTCTCAATGAAAATCAGAATTTTAATGCAAAAAGCCCTACAACCCTAAGTTTGAAAATATATTTTATAGACTTTTGAAACCCTAATTGTAGTTAGAAAAGAAGTCAATTTCGTGCATAAGCTTTTAAGAGAAAGTCTAAAGACTTAAACCGGTTCAGCTGCCTTTGAATCGGTTCAAGTTGGCTAGTGTATTTTTTTAAAAACAAAACATTAACACTTGAATTGGTTTAGCTGCTCTTGAATCGGTTCAAGTTGACTAGACCTGATTATCACTTGAAGCGTAAACATGTTTTTTGTACATAGACCAAGCAAAATTACCAGTGAAAGCTTAATCTAGATAAAGAAATTAAAATCTTTAGTGATTAAACCCCCCTAAATATCAACTCCCCGTGAATGTGAGTGTCACATTATTTTTTATCTCCCCCTTTTGTGGAACAAATTAACAAACGTAGAAGATAAAGCATATAGAAAAACACAAGGGGCAAATTACAAAAGAACATATCAAGTCATTTTTGTCAAAAATAATTTCAAGCACATAAACAGAAAGATCATCTAAATCATGATGCATATGACTATGTATGAACATGTAAGCACACATCATAAATCAAAATATGCCCAAAAAAAATAGTCATAAAAAAAAAAAACTCCAAATCAATCATTGTACACAAGGAGCAAATTACAAAAGAACATATCAAGTCATTTTTGTCAAAAATAATTTCAAGCACATAAATAGAAAGATCATCTAAATCATGATGCATATGACCATGTATGAACATGTAAGCACACATCATAAATCAAAATATCCCCAAAAAAAATAGTCATAAAAAAAAAAAAAAAAAAAAAAAAAAAAAAAAAAAAAACAACTCCAAATCAATCAACCCATAAAATGGAACTCTGGATGTGACAATCCCATCATCACCATCATCTCCATCATTACCCTCCAAATTGTCACCATAAAAGTTATCCTTATCATCGTTATCATCGTCAGCAATGTAATGTCACGAATTTTTTCTGGATTGTTTTCGAATTTTTATTTTATTTATTTTTCGTGACTCGATTTACATGCCACGCGGGCTCTGAGGGTCATTTTGGTCATTTTATTCAGCCGAGAGTTTTAGAAATGCATTCTCAACTATTTTAAGTCATTTAGATACAATGAGATCATTTTTAGAATTTTTTAGGAATCAGCTGGTTGCGCTATTTTGCCTTAAGGGCGTTATGGGTTTTTCACCAGCATATGCCTATATGTGTATCAATTTGGTAGGAAGATATTTTGGGGACCTTGTTGGCATTACAAGGGTTGTAGATGGGCAAAAGGGTAAACAAACCAAAAGGGGAATCAACTATATTTTGCAAATTTTCTGTTCTTAATATATCAATAGATGATTATTCAATGAAAATTAGTAAGAAAACCTCTTTGCTTTGCTTCAATAATAAAAGTTTTGATCAACTCTATATCAATTAAGAAGGAGAGATAGTTATTGATTGAGGGGTTACTTCTGATTCAATCCATGTTGTGTTTAACCCTTAAGAAATGGGTAATGCCCATCTTAATTTTGAATTTTTTTTATAGACAGCTGTTCTAATTACATTAGACCACATCAACTGGAAGGATGAATTTCATCCTCCCAAGCACCTTACAAAATATTTTTAAAGCTTACTACTTACCGTGTTCTGCGATAATCGATAAGTTACCCCCCCATTTATTTTAAAAAATCACATTCTGTATTTAACGCTAATTAGAAATTCAAATTGGCCTATAATGTGAGAAGGCAAGAATGGAAAGGGCTAAGGGATTGGGTTTTAAATTTACTTTTTCCTTGGGGTGGATTGCACTTTTATTTTTTATTTTTTATTTTTATTTTTGAAAAATAGGGACCAACAATGCTGACTTTTCTAATTGAGGGAATCATTATGCTCAAATCTTAATGCAGGAGTTTTTAATTTTTTTTTTTTTGGTGCCATTAACAAGAAACACACACCGCACTCACACATTTCTTTGCTCTTTTGAAAACTGAAATACTTATATTCACTTTAAAAGGAAGAACAAATACAAATATGCCACAACGTCCTTTACATCATAACAACAAAAATGATAAAAATGAACTATCAAGGGTCAACCTCATGATAACGTTACTCTAAATTAAATACTTCTGATTGCTAAAATGATGGGATTCAATCATTTGCTTGAAGGAAATAAAAAATCATTTGTCTCCATCATATGTTGAAAATGTACCTGGAGAACAATGTAGGTGTTAATCAGCAATCGCTGACATGGCATGTTGAAAAGTCAACATAACCCCTTAACCAAGACTTCGTGGCAAGTTGAGAAGTCAAAAACTTCATTAAGCTTTGAGGGCTTAACCCTCGAGCACCCCAAGCCCTGACATTGCACCACGTCATTAAAGCCTCGAAGGATTAACCCTCGAGCGACCCAAACCCTGGCATCACACCAAGTCATTAAGCACCCTCGAGTGACTCTCAAACCCTAGTAGCACACTAGGTTAAAAAGCCTTAAGGACCTAACCCTTGAGCATCCCAAACCCTGGTACCACACCAGGTCACTAAGCCTTGAGATCCCAAACCTCGAACATTTCAAACCTTAGCAACATACTAAGTTGCTAAGACTCGAAGGCTCAGCCTCTAAGGCCCCTTCGAGCCTCATAGTACACTGAGGCATTAGAGCCCCAGGGAGCTCGCCTTTAAATTATTATATCTTCATAAGTTCAAACATAGCATGAAACGAAGGTAGGGCCTTCTCAGCTATGTGGGACCTTACTTTGGGAAACTTAGAAGGATCTTGGACTGGTGGATGAGAAGTAAAGAAGCACCTCCACTCCCAGCAAGACTCGATCAACTAAATGATGGAAATATATACATTATGATAGCAAACCATAAAATCACATTTAATGCTTTGACAAACTTGGCCAACCTACGGTCAAGTAAGAATAAAGAGTATTTAATGCCCTAAATGGGGGAGACGCAACATAGTGCATGGCTCGATAAGAGGATTTGACCTCTTAGGTTCCTAGGTCTATCATGACTACCCATGTGGTTACTGTTAGGAGTGAGATGCATAAAGAACTGCTGGTTAATAACGTGAGATGCATAAAGAACTGCTGGTTAATAACTAACATGTTTTATGGTCTATAAAATAACAGTAGGCCAGAAAAGGACTGTCATTAGAAATGTATATTTGCCCTACCTCTATCTTAATCTTGGAAGGTCGGTCTTCTTCCCCTCTTTCACCAATCATTCTCTCTGTTTCCTTCATATTTGTATCTTAGATATCACCTTATAACATTTATTTATTGTGTTACTAAAAAAGAACCCTTACATTTTGGCAACTTCACTAGGGATATCAGTACAAGATGATGGAATCACAGAACGTGCAGCTTGACCATTCTGAGCCTTTCGTGGAAGGAGGCAGCCAGTCTAGTCACAGGCACCGTCGTATGCCTTTACCATGGGAGTACCATGCGTACCACCGCTAGTGAGCTCCGCAGTCCTCTCCTTCCACAGGGAGCTCCTCTAGTCCAACCAACATCTTAATGACCGCCTAGACAGGCTCAAAGCCATCATCATGGAGAACACATGAGCTAAAACAGTCTCACCT